TCTGATACAGGCCATGGTCTTTGCAATCACTTGTTATGCATCAGAGAGTTGGACAATGACTAGGGAGGATAGAAGGAGAATTGACATCTCTGAGCTGTGGTGCTGGAGAAGAGTACTGAGGGCACCATGGACTCCTAGGAAAACAGATTCATCCTGGAGAGGGTTAAACTGGGCGGCTTTTTGGAGGCAAGGATTCTGAGGCTTCATCTAACATAGTTTGGACATGTTGTAAGGAAGGAGAGGTCCTTGGAAAGGGACATCATGCTTTAGAGGGTGGAGGGACAACACAGGAGGCGAAGGCCCTCTAGGAGGTGGATTGATTCAGTGACTGGGGTAATAGGGATGGGTGTCTTGGAGACAGTGCGACTGGCACAGGACAGAGCAGAGTTTAGGGCTGTTGTACATAGGGTCGCTATGAGTCGCAAGCTACTCGATGGCACATAACAACAACAACAAGTCCATTGGAGCAGTGGCTGTGTGCTTCTCATTGATGGTCTTTCTCTTTTTCACTAATCTTCCCAGCAGATATCTTTGTCCAAGTTAGTTAGGCAATCTTTCATCACTGCTTCTAAGGGGGATACTGGTTGTATTTTCTCTAAGACAGACAAATTTGATCTTTTAGCAGTCTGTAAGATATTTACATTTTGCCAGTGCGAAAATTTAAAGATTCTGATTCTTCCTCGGTTTTTCTCATTTATTGGAATATAATACTCTATTTAGTGGTGATATTAATAAAATCAATTAACTTCTTCATGTCTTAGGTTCCCTGGTCGAATTCATATCATTTTGGGGGATATCACAGAAGACTGATAGAAAAAAAGCACTAAAAAATTTGAGAAAACAGACACTGTAGTTCAAATAAAATCAAAGTTTTTTTTAGTGAAATAAAGAATTAAGAATCGTAAGAGTTCATGATTTTATTCTATAAATAGAACCCTAAATTTAATTATTTTTTAAAAATTGCACAAAGAGGTTGTTAGCTGATACAAATGCCTTTGATATTTCTGATTACTGAACGTTAACAGCTATAGAGTCAAACAAAATAATTTTATGAGAATACACAGTAAGGTGATTTTATTTCCCACATGGTCTATGACTTAAACTAACAGAATCCATGCCTGTACCTTGAAGGGAGGAAGATTTGTATGACTTTCTTTGAACGGAGATGTTCAATTAATACCTGATAAGAGTTGTTGGTACCAGTTGGAGAAGATTCATCAGGAGCACCAACAGAGCCATAAGCCGTCAATGAAACATTCCCTCCCAGAAATTCATCTCCTCGAACTGAATGGATGAGATCATTCAAAAACTTATAGTAAAGATTGCTGGACAAAAAGCCAGGCAAAAAGACCTAGAAGAGAAGAAGACAAGTACTATTAAAGCTGGAACAAGATATGACTAAAAATTAATTTTTAAGCAAATTAATTTTATCAGACAGCACAAATGCTTTTAGTTATCCTTTTCCATCTAAGCACTGCTTCCTTGTACAATGTACATCATCAATAAAATGGCAATGTATACATTTAGTCTCTTTTTCCCATGCTGGCCATGAAAACTGTGTTATCACCTTAATATTTATATACTCTTATGAATAACAATATAGTTTATGGAGTATGTATAATTTGAAACTAGATCCCCCTCCAAGCTATTCATTTTTCACTTCTGCATTGATTCCCTTAATATAAACTACCAGAAATGTGATTATTAACATAAATGGTATGAACATTTTAGCTTTGATGTACATGGCAAATTTATCCTCCCAAATGATGCTAACAATAATCAAGGTATCTATTTCCATATAAACTTTCCAACACAGAGTTGTGTTTTGTCAAATCAAGAAGAAAAAAAGGAAAAAGCCTACAGAGTACCTTCATACCTTTTTATTTACATTTAAAAATTATTGATATTACATTTCCTATTACAAACTTCTACTCCACAGCACTCACTACAATTTAAATAAGTATGTCTATATTTAGTATGTGCCTCCTTTTAAAGAGGGAATCCTGGTGGCATAATATATACTGTGTTTGGCTGCTAACTAAAAGGCTGATGCTTCAAAGCCTGCTTAATAAAAAGACAAGGCAGTCTGCTATAGAGATTATCAGCCTTAGAAACCCAACATGGCAGGGGGTTTTGTTTTTCTTTTAGCCTGAGCTCCAAGGCAAAAGAAATAAAACCCAAGAGACTGCCTTCAAATTGGTTCTGATTACTGAAACCCTCCATTGAGCTTCCAAGGTTACCCATCTTTACAGGAGTGCATTTTGTCTTTCTCCCTCAAGCATCTGCTAGTTAAAAATGGCCAACCCTTGCCGCCAGAGACGGAGTTCCGCCACCAGACAGGCCGGGAAGAGACCCAGGAAGAGCAATAGTCAGCGGAACCCCAGAGGAGTGAAGAATACCCGCCACTGTGCGACACCCCCTGCAGCCTGCACCTGTGTGACCCCCCGACCAGCAGCGCCCAAGCCCCGCCCCCATCTCTTGGTGGCAGTGTCCAAGGCCTGCACTCCTTATCCCCCTAGTCCCTTGTTTCCACGCACCTCAGCCCCCACCACAGCCCTGTGACCTCAGGGCACCACCGCGGATCCAGCCATCACCTGGAGCTATCAACCTAGCTGTTGTGGAACTAACCTGGCAGAAGAAAGGCCGGTAGGATCTTATCTGTGTTTACAGGGGCTGATTATCTGGGAGAGCACCTAAGGGTGTGCCCACAGGTGGGGAAATTGGCCAAGCTCTCTTGGGTTCCCACCCAAAATGAGCCAGCCAGCTGGTTTCTGTGAACTCT